AAGTGGCTGCTCAAAACCCACCTCTACAGGCAAGCCTTTTTATAGATGTCCTTGTTTGTTCTGTCTTCTCTCTTTTAATTTATTCTTTCCCTCTTGTTTTATCTTCCTTTGTTTGTATACATGCTCCCTATGTTTGTTTGATTGGGTATGGTTATACCCTTATGTTTATTTGTTGTTTGTAAAGCACTTTGGATCTCTGTGTCAAAAAGGTGCTATATAAGTAAAGCTTTACTTACTTACTTACTTACTCTTCTGGCTTCCCTAAACCCTAAACTCTGTAGATCATTAGCTTTTAGGCCTACATTTTTAATTGCATGATTCAATAATTTTATATGTTTAAGGTTCTTCAAAGCTGGCTTAAAACATGAAGCTGTTGAAGGAACAAATCCTTTACACCAGCGCAATCGATTGCCTAGTACTCCAGTCCAGTTGGTGGCGGTAATGCGCCACTAATTTGGTTTTCCAAACGCTAAAAGGAGGTTCAAAAAGGGAACAAAAGAAGAAGACGGAACCCAGAAGTTGAAATGTTTCCGGCCCACGGAAGATTGGGGAAACTTTTGTTGTATTCACGCACTGCCATTGTTGTATTCGTACGGCTTTATCATGGCTAATACAATGGAAGATCCAGGTAGGCGTTAGATTTTGTCTATACGTTTACATTTCCAGATGAATGACTCCTAATTAATCGAATGCAAAGCAGATTAACACAGTGATGCTAATCTTAACGTTTGCCTTACGTTAGCTAACAGACCCAATAACCGATGCTGCCTTTAAACGCTACACACCTGAAACATACAGCATTGTGTTCATTTACTCATAAATGTCTAACGTTACATCGTACGTTATAGTGCTTCGATATAGCTACGCAGCAAATTAGCTGATGCGTATTAAGTGACCTAAAATGTCCATGTGGGTCTTTGCGATTCAAAAATCTAAATAAATGTAGACTGCTCATAGACTGTCCGTGGTGGCAGTAGGCTCATTAAGCTGATCACCAGCCATGTATTGCTAATGTAACGTTACATAATAACCTCACCTTGTTATTGGACATTCATGTGTGCATGCATTCAAATAATTCATTACTAAGCCTAACAAACTCTTATTGTCTCACAGGGCCTAACGTTAATAAGGACAACATCAGAGCTGGGTGCAAGAAATGTGGATATCGTAAGTAAACCAATTATGGTTTGTTTGTGTGTACGTTGCTATTAGTCCCATTAGTAACCTGGGTAAATGTGGGCTTGTTAGAGTCCAGATAGAGTATGTTTTAATCAGGTTTAATCCAGGAATATTGATGGTAATAGTGAGTATCCACTGATATGTGTTTCCTTGTGAAAGGTGGGGGGGTTTTAATTCTAAAATGTAATCGATGACATTGTTTGCCGTAGTTGTTCATTCATTCTCTCCTGGATGTTAATTTTTCAGCGGGCCACTTGACCTTCGAGTGCCGAAACTTTGTCAGAGTGGACCCCCAGAAAGACATTGTTCTGGATGTAAGCAGCACGAGCAGTGAGGAGAGTGAAGACGATGTAGCTGCAGCCTCTGAGAAGGTGGGGCGAAATGGCCAGCATCGTAGAGGTAAACTATCATGATCCATCATAATGTCTTAAATGAAAGGCAATAAGATAATCATTAATGATGAAAATGTGAATTTGGACATGGAAAACAGTAAAAACACAATATAGGGAAGTATCCTTGTTAAACAGTCTTGGAAGAACTAGTTTACAGATTGACAAAGCAGTTTGAGATGAGACACTTTATTCGTCAGTGCTCAGAAGTCACTAGAAGTCATGCAACTTGATGTTAATTAACTCATACACAAATACAAAAAGATTTGCCAACCTAACTGGACTGTGAGCAAAAGAGACAGAAGACACAAGAGCTTCAATTTTCTCTAATTACTACTGTTACAGGATACAATTTCTTTTTTTCTCTTAAGTTTTGAACTCTTGGGCAACTAGACAACATGGGGATGGATGGAGCATTTTACTGTAACACAGCGTTACTTTGTGATTTAGGCTGGTTGGGTCTTGCACAGAGATGAGTGGCAGCAGTAGCCCCAGTCAGTGTCGCTATTATTAGACATACTTTCTCCGATTCTCTGTGTTGTGTTACTTGCCGTTTTAATTTAGGAGCAGCTACTCGTCCAATAAGAAGTGTCTTGACTGTTCCGTCTGCAAATCTGTGTAGGTTCCCATGATGATGCCAATGATAGAAAAAAGAGACACAAAAAGAAGAAGAGCAGAGACAGAATGTCGAGGAAGAGGTATGTTGTTTTTACCTTTTTACATTTATGTACAACATGTACAATGCCAGGGAACATGTTCTGAATTCTTTTTTTCTTTTGTTCACACTGGCCCTAAACTTTCATTTTTTTTATACTTGTATAGTCTTCTGACAACAAAAACATACATATATGTAAATGCATACAAATTGTGTAATGCAGCTATATCTGTACTGTGTTCTGTTAAGGTAAACTATTGCAGACATGGAGTCTAAGGCTACGTTCAGACTGCAGGCAAAAGTGGCCGACCCATATCTGATTTTTTTTTTTATGACAGTCTATGCAGCATTTCATTTGGCTTTTACGTATTTTACCGTAAAAACAGTCATTTCAGGGCCATAGACTTTTCCCACTGGAGTCTGATGGCGGTCGCATTTGAATTATAATGTGAACAACCAAGCAAAAAAATCGGAATTGAGCATTTAGACCTGCAGCGTGAAGTCTGTGATTCTTGTACTGATAATACATACCTGTGCAGGCCTGTACACGTGAAAGTCTTAATTTGGGCAACAAAATAAATTGGTGTTCAAAAATCAGGTTAGGTATTTTACAGGTTTACAGCCTTTAAATAAGTTGTTTTTTTAATTCTTTTTTGTTGTTTTTCACACCGTAGATCTGCTTCGTCAAGCGATGACGAAAGAACAAAGAAGAAAAAGAAACACGGCAGGTCCTACTCCTCATCTGATGAAGAGGAGAGGCGGAAGAAAAAGAAAGTGAAAAGCCACAAGAAGAAAAGCAAAAAGAACAAAAGTGAACATGGGAAGAATCACAAGAAGAAACAGAAGAAGAAGAAACACGAATCTTCCTCCTCGTCTTCTTCGTCCAGCTCCAGTGAATCGTCAGACAGTGACTGAGACAGCGGAGTGCTGCAGTGTGTGGAGGACCAACATATTTATTCTCCAGTCCACAAAAAGTGTGTTTGTCAGACATTGTGTAAATAAGACACCTCATCTTGTCCCATTTAAAGTGTCCATCACTGAGACAAGGATTTACATAATTCAGTGGTTTAAAAACCACTGTTCACTTAAGATAATGGAGTTTTACACCATCATGCAAATGAAAAAAATATCTGAAGCATTTTGGAAAACATGCACGTAGCCAGGGGACATGTTTGGATTTAACTGTTTTGTTGTCCTTCCAGAACCACTGTCATTTCACATTTAACAGTTTTGTGTGTGTGCAGAGGAATCTTGCGTGACATTTTCAGGACAGTTCAGGGGAAAAACCTTGGATGTTTTTAGTGTGATAGATTCCTGTTATAAGTTTCAGGATGCTGTCCTTTTTGTCTTTTATAAACTTTGTTGCTTCAAAGCTTCCCTTTGAAATTGTACCCCCAAAAAGGGCAAATGGGACTGTTAAATATGAAATCTTTGGTTGACTGGGAATAATGGCTAAGGGCAACAGTCAGCCCATTTCTTTGTCAGTGCTGACAAGTCAGTGGTAGTTGAACTATTGGCATATCAATAGACAAAAAAAGCTTCAATGTTTATACTCTTTCTGGGATGGCTTTATAGTACAACGCAACTCTTGGAGGTTCCTGGTAAAGTAACGTGATTACTGTCAAATAATACATTTGATAATTTAACCAACCACACCTTTTTAAAAAACATCTGGACATTTCAGTAGCTCATTCCAAAATATCTGTGTATACATTTTGGGATCTGCCATTAACTAAGCCTCTTTATACAGCTTTGTTCATTTCCTGTGCACAATTTACCATTGCTTTAGTCTGTCTTTCTTGGAAGGGTTCTTTTATAGTAATAAAATGTATATTTGTATCAAACTATCTTAACAGTCTCAATTTAGTTTTGAAATACATCTTACATTGCAATGGAGCAGATATAATTCTTTTTTCCTGTAGAGGGCAGCAACATACCTTAAATGTGTTAAAACCTTACTGAAATCTTAAGGACAATGCTCTTCAAAATCTTAAAATGATACATTACAAAAGAATGCATGGCTGTGAAAAAAATATATGACCTGTGAGGTAGCAGAACACATTTAATCTCTAAATGAAAAGTAGTGTGTTTGTATATTAAGCAAACATTTTAAATTCTCAAGTTACAACTTGATTTAGTCATTTGTACAATAGCACATGCTGCATATTTTACAGAAGAATATTGTGTTAATTTGTAATATTTCTGGTTAGAGTCAGGGTCAGTGAATAGCCTGATCGTTGTCGTGTACAAACAATTAAAATGCTGTAGTATCAATGTATAGACACTGGACTACAGATTGGACCAGGCCATCAGCAGATAAACTAAAGATGGTTTAAAACAAGCATAACAGGGAACAGTGAATGCAGAAAGAAAGAAAGGGGGGAATAAAACAACAACATTAAAGCAATTTCTCATATGTAATCTAAAAGACGAAAGAAAAAACCCTTAATAATGAATTACAACCTTGCAGTATGTATGTCTAGACTTCAAGTATCTCGCTTAGTATGTACTCCACCTTGTGGCCATCTAGTGAACATTCAGAGGCTGACCTTAATCCATTCAAGTTGCTGCCATCCTCTTATGTGCAGTAGAGACAGAAACACACACAGACAAAGACATATGATTTGCCAAGTAATCATAATAATCATAGACAGAAGTTGCTGAGTAACAACGCTCTTTGGCTCGAGGCACCTGTGTCAAACATCAATCTCACTTGCTAAATGTTCAGGTGGAATAAAACAGGGATATTATATCACGTCCTCACAGGGAGATCCAGTCCATGTACACATACTCATTCAGCGCATAAGTAAATTTGCAAAGACACATGCACAAACATGTAAAAAAAAACACTCAGACACTTTTAGATTCAGAACAGTACATACATGCAACCTTTCCTGTAGGTTTCCAGTTTTCAGAGAGTGTCACAGTTAAAGCACCTCAGGGTGAACATGGGAGGAAAAACCACAAACAATGGGCCAGGGTTGGACCACCTCATCTGGGGACCCTGCCACTTCTGGCCCAGGCAGAGTCACCATGGTGACCTACGGACAGGTGCAGCCCACCATATGAAACATCAGTTTACTGTGATTTTGCTTCCACTTACCTGCATGCTGTACGTATCGCTCCCCTACAAGACATGAAACTGCACAAAGACAGAGGCTTACAAACCTTACAAACCAAGGATCTTTGGTGTTTTGTTCGATCTGGGCTGTGTGACAGATGTAATGTATAATAGCGCTATTAATCTCACTTTGCCTTGGGGAAGGAGTTATCTTCTTCAGCATCTGCAACATCCTGTCAGCTACATGCATGGCTGCTGATCAGAGCCCGGCATTATGACAAGACATATCCCGCAACTTTATCTTTTTTAGGTCCAGAGGGCAGATTCATCAAATTTGTCCAAAAAACATTCAGCCTCCGCTGACAGCAGAGACAGTCAAGTAGTTAATAATGTTTCTGGGAGTTGGGAATATGGGATGTCTGATTCCTGTGGGAGAATATGGGATTTGCTTTGTATTTCTATGAAAAATATTCACAGGAAATTGCTTGTTTGGAAAAGATCTCATTAGTTAGTAAAAGCAACACTTACCTCCACCATAGCTGAATAAAGAAAATACTATGATCTACAGACACTCAAACACCTTTAAAGGAATAGTTAACTGTTTTGTAAAATACACTTATTTGCTTTCTTAAATAGAGTTATATGAGAAAATCAATACCATTCTCATATTTTTACATATTTTTAAGCTACAGTCAGGAGATAGTTAGCTTAGCTTAGCATAAAGACTAAAAACAGGGGAATACAGCTAGCCTGGTTGTGTCCAAAGGTCGCTACCTCCACCTCTAGTTCACTAATTAACATGTTATATCTGGTTTGTTTAATCTTTTTACACAAGAACATGTAAAAATGACAAGGTGTGGTTTTACAGGAAGTCACATGATCGACTATTTCTCGGCCCGGCGAAATAACTTGAAATAAAAAGGTCATAATAAAAATCAACTTGTGAATTACAGTTGAGCATTCATTATTTTTATTTTCACAGTACTATCATATGCCTGCTGTTCATCATATCAATACTATGCATATTTTTATTAATACCCTTGATTAATGCTGTAGTAAAGTGTTGGCAAAAGAAACTTGGAGAGTGGGAAACTTCATAATTACCCAGATGGTAAGAGGACAACTCGATACAGAGGAGCAAATGAAGTAGAAGGAGTGCTGCCATGTGCAGCCACACTGAGCAAACCATATGCTGTTTGTATAAGACAACAACTAGGTTTTCTGTTTTCACCAGCTCATTGGTTTTTATTGAGCCTGTTGGGCTGTAGGAGAGCAGAAAGCAAATGGGACTCCACTGAGCCATTTGAATGAAAATGAGATGGTCAATGTCATCTTTGAGGGAGTTTAGCTGCAGAAGAACAGCGATTCTGGCTCCACGTAAACATCGTTGAGGCATTGATCTCAAACTTAGCAGAAATCATTTTGGGAAAATGGCTGACCAGAATGACTGTACCATAAGGGTAAATGATCTCTCATTAACATAAGGTGTGTTTTTCAATTTGTTTATATAACTTTAGTAGCTCAGTTTCAGGCTTGTGTGGGCGGCCTGGTAGCCTCTGCACTGATGTCTGTTTTTAACCTTTCTTGGTGATTTGAGCACATATGCTCTTTTTTTCCAGCAACGCCCTGCTTCACATTCACACAGTTACATTCATCCAACCTGGGAGCGGCCCAGTACAACCACAGTCTCTTGCTGAAGCCAGTGCACAGCTCCACTGGAGATACAGTTAAATGCTTGGCTCAAAGGCACCTCAGTGGTACAGCTGTTAAAGGAAGATGTGCTCCATATCTCCTTCTGTTTCATCATTCAGCCTGGGAATTCAAACCTGCAAGCTTTTAATCATGAGCCTGCTTCTCTTAACCTTAAGGCCACCACCACTACACAGCAAAGCATAACATCTTCCCAGAAATAAAATGAAAATCCCTTATGCTGCACTTTGGTGGGAACAACCCAAGCTGAGAGATGGCGCCGGTTTTGCGTCTGTAACCACTGTTGAAATATTATTTCAGAGGCAAGCCATCCCCGCATCTTGGAGCACGGTGAGCAGAGCACTTGAAAAACGCATTAGGGCCAAGGGGCAAGTTGGAGGCTATACATTTGCTACCAATTTAGTTCCTGCTTCTTAGATTTCGTTCTTCTCTTCCTCTCCTGGCCCCCGAAACCAGGCCTAATGTAGTAAATGACCTCTAGGATAAATAGACAGCAGGCTACATGACCCCGGCCATCAAAAACGGAGGCTGTAATAAATAATAGCTTTACAGGAAGCGTGTTCGACATTCTCCCAAAACCTGCAGGGAAAGAAAACGAGGGGGCGAACGGGGTGAGTCTCTGTTCACCACTCTGTCTTTGGTCAAAACCTTTTTTCCTGAGGTCTGTTATTACCGGCCTAGTTCCTGGGTTCCCATTCAGAGTGGAGCTTGTTCATATAAACCTTGAGGTTTTGAGGCACCGCTGGACTGACTGGGTGGCTTTCACCAGGGAATTAGCACAGGGTCGCATTGGATCATGATCAGTAGGCCCTCTACGGCTAACCTGTGTTGGACCGGGCTGCGTGTGGAGGTGGTGGTGGTGAGGACAAGTTTCCTGGCTCTGGAATATGGGTCAGTCCAAACCCAGGATGTGTAGGCCTTGATACTGTAAATCATGGATCCTTCTGATGCTTTTCTGCTTTCTGTGTAATTTCTAAATCATTTTATTTTACCACAGTTTTCCAGATTAGTCTTGATGATATTGGGAATCCCCTGTACTCTTTACCCAGCTTTTTTTTCCCTTTTCCTTTTCCCTTTTTTTTACTGGAGGAAGTAGTGCAGAAACTAGATTCACACACATTTTTTTACATTAGAAAGACAGTTGTAAAGACAGAGCAGTTTGAGGTCAGAGAGGACTTATAAAACCAGACAAATTGTATTAATAGTGAGGGTAACTGATGTAAAAAGATTTAGATCTTAGTAGACAGAAAGGTGATGTAAGAGATCATGATACTTTAAAAATCCACTTAGGCGATAAAGTTGAAGGAGATGGTATTTAGGCTGTTTTGCTTATGAAAGAGCTTGGCGTACCATTTAATGTTTGGTTTAATAGCTTTTTTAAGCACCACATAAAACAGGATAGATCATTTCTATTGAGTTCGCCCCAGAAAGATTGCATCTTCTTTCTTAAAGTGCTTTATGTACCTGGTGATCATCCAGGCAAAAAATGAAAACAATACAGTTTTATTTTGAAACACACAATGTCACATCCTGCAAAGCAAAATAAGTTGTTACATTGTACCACAAGCCAGGATTCCACATATTTCCCATAACCTTTGCTAAATATACACATGACTATAATATGACCATTAAATGAAAAAACAGTAAAGCCTGCACACTTACTCCATGCCACAAACGTTGAATAATGACAACGTTTTGATCCTAGTTGGATCTTCATCAGGTCACAGTGAAACCAAACCAATATTTATACATTATGCACATCAATAGGCTGACAAGCTCTATGGTGGCAGGTGTATTATTACACTGGTTAGGATGTTTAACCACACCATAGTTTCATTCTTTCAACAACTCGGACTTGACGAACATCCAAATAGGATAGTATAGGATAGTAGTTTTTTTCGTTGATGCTGTTTTCTGACTGCCTTGAACCTAAGTTTTCCTTTCCTTCTACTATAATACGACCACTGGCACAAATAATATGTCACTAAACAGCCTGAGCTTCTCTAAATCGATTTCTACCTGCCTCTTTGATGAAAATTAATTTATCACTTATGTGGCAGATATGGTATTGACCCA